TTTTTTTTTTTTTTTTTGGTGATGGTATTAGAGTTTAAACATGTGAGGCCTCACACATGCTAGACAATCACTCTAGCGCCAAACTCTACCCTCAGCCTTTTCCCCTTTTAACTAACCGTTGTAGTGCTGAGGATTGAACTGGGAGGTACTCTGCTTCTGAGCTATATCCTTAGCCCCTCCACTTTTTTTTTTGTCTTTTTGAGCTCAGGTTGTTCTTAAACTCACTTTGTAGCCCAGGCTGGCCTCAAACTTGCAACAGTTCTCCTGTCTCAGCCTCCCAAGTGCTGGGATTACAGGCCTGCACCACCACGCCCAGCCTTAGCCCCTTTTAAATTTTTCTTTTGAGAGAGAGTCTTTCTGAGTTGTTCAGGTCAGCCTCGAATACTTAATCCTCCTGCCTACAACAGGAGGCTCTGGGTTTAAGTCTCAGCATATCAAAACAACCAACCAAAGATATAAATTAATGCATAAATAAATAACATAAGGAGGGCTGTGGATGTGGCGCAATAGTAGAGCATTTGCCTAGCATGTGTGAGACCCCAGGTTCAATCCCTAGTACTATCAAAAATTTTTTTAAATACAGAAGTATTAAATAACTTGTGGAAGATCAGAGGAACATGCCAGAAGTGGGGTGCACACCTGCAATTCCAGCTGTTCTATTTATTTTTTATTTTTGGATTTTTTTTTTTCCGGTACTGGGAATCGAACTCACGATATTACACTTGCCAGGCAGGCGCTGTGCCGCTGAGCTAAATCCCCAGCCCCCTATTCCACCTGTTTTAGAGGGGGAGGCAGGAGGATCACAAGCTCAAGGCAGCCTCGGCAGCATATCAAGACCCAATCTCAAAAAGCGAAGCAAAGCAAAACAAACAAAACAAAAGACTAGCACAGAGGGACAGGGCCAGCCTTCTAACCTGGGTCTAACTCCAGCATCGATGGTCCTAAAACCAAGCAGGTGCTCAGGCCAGGGAGCAGTCTCTGCCTGGATGGATCCTGTATATGTCCTGTGTGTTCTTTGTTTAACTGAAGTATAATCCCTGTAATAGTTGGTGGTGCCATACAGGTGAATGACAGAACTGGGGGTCCAGTCCCCTTGTAAATACCACTCTTCCTCTTCCCTCTTTCACCCATTCAAATCCCAGTCCACTGAGTTTGGCAAACACCATCAGGTCAGTGCCTACTCTGTGTCCTTCGCACTCCCACTAATCTTCCTTTGGCATCCACTGAGGCATTTGTCCCTTTCCCCCTTGGCTCAAGGTCAGCGCTGTGACCATAGTACTGACAATATCCCCCTTGCTCAAGATGAATTCAGGGATGAGATCTGGCCAATGACCAGTGAGGGACAGTCTCCTGAGTACTTCTTGGAAGTTTCCCTTAATCTTAAAGTAGGACGCAAGGATGAGATACTTCCTGCTCCTTGTTTGTTTTGCTGCTTTTAGATATTGTTGTGTGATGATGTGATGTCTGAGTGGTGGCAGCCGCGTTGTAACCATAAAGTGAGCTAACCAGTGACAAGGTAGCAGGCTGAGGATGGTACGGGGAAGGTAAAGAAGAAATCACTTGGAGCCTTGAAGATGTTCAGGATTAATCTCTTCTGAAACTGCCCTTCCTTTGGACTTCTTGTTCTGGGTAGTATTACACTTTTGTTATTACCCAAGGCAATTAGAAGAGGTTCTGTGTCATTAAAACATCTTGTTTTGATGCAGGAGATACGAGATCAAAAGAATGAACACCCAACGCACTAGTTGGATACGCTAATAGCCCCAGCAAGAACAATACCCATCAATTAAATGAAAAAAACATGATTCCTTGACCAAGGGCGGCCTGGAGAACTCCTTTCCTGCTAGTTCCAAGAGGAAGGAGGGCGCGCTCCAGCCAGCCCCGCATGCTATATCTCTTCACAGCAGGATCGGCTCCCATCTGAGGGCGGCCCACACCATGCCTGCCAGCTTTCTGACTCCTATTTCCTGTAGGGTCAGCCGAGGGGGCAGATGAGGTAGGCAGAGGAAAGCAGCTTTATTTACTGACTCAAAATGGAAACCAGATGTCCAAGAGCCCTGCCGGACCCAGGATCACCCCGGACAGAGGCCGGGCCTGTTCTCAGCCATGACCCATCCACCAAATCCAGATGTGTCTCCTTTCAGGTTCTAATAATATTTTTGATTTATTGAGTCTGAGTGACCTTTACCTCATGGCTCAACCCTGCACATACCAACTCTCCCAGAAGAACACAGGGGATATTCATGAGGAAACCTGGGTGTTGTGAAGAGGAATGTGGCCTGAGAGAATCAGACCAGTGAGTTTCAACTGCAGCCTGGTCTTGGGCTAGCCATGCATTCACAACCACTGTATCAGTCACCAATGCTGTGTAACAAGTTGCCATAAAACTTAGTGGCTCAAGCCAGGTATGGTGGTGCACATCTGTAATCCCAGCACGCAGGAGGCTGAGGCAGGAGGATCATTGCAAGTTTGAGACTAGCCCGGGCTACAAAGTGAGCTCAAGGCCAGCCTGAACTGCATGGCAAGATCCTGTCTCAAAAAGACAAAAAAAAAAAAACAAAAACAAAAAAAAACAAAAAAAAAACTTAGTGGCTCAAAAGAACTGTTTATTTGCTCACCATTCTAAAATCTGGGCAGGACAGCTCATTTATTTTCTATGTCATATTATGTTTTGTAAATGAAGTCTGATGGGACAGTAGGGCAGGCGTGCGAGACAAGGAGACAGGTTTTGTAGAATATCGCCCTGTTTCCTGCCTGCCCATGCCTGATAGGTAGCTCCTCTTCCTTCCAGTTCTTCCTTACCAGCAGCGAGGAGGGTGTGGGGAGAATGCACGCCGACCAAGCAGAGAACTGAAACACTGATATATATATCAATAACCATATTGTATTAATCACAAGTGTGACCCAGAGTCACACAGTGGGGTGCATGAGGAGGGAGAGGGAGTGTGTGTGTGTGTGTGTGTGTGTGTGTGAGAGAGAGAGAGAGAGAGAGATTCTGGAGATGTAATCCATGGCATCACATATGCTAGACAAACACTCTGCCACTAGGACACATCTCTGGGCTTGGTTGAACACAGGGTCTTCACACTGGGCTACATCCCCACCCCTTTCTAAATTTTTTTTTTTTTATTTTGAGACAGAGTCTTGCTAAGTTAGTTGTCCAGGCTGGGTTGATTTTGCAACCCTCTTGCCTCAGCCTCCCAGTGTGCTGGGATTACAGGCACACGCCACCAAGCCCGGTTGGAGTCCACCTTGTGAAGAGAGGGACAGCATTTTGGTACACAGAAGGCAGGGCTTGTTGGTGGATAATGCAATAACCATAGGTCATAACCTTTCTGATCTTCAGGGTCCTTGTTGTAAAGTGGGACTATTTCTAGAAACTTCCCAGGGTTGCCTGAGGAATGTTTGGTTGCAATTCCTAGAACATGGTGATGAGTTCCTGGAGGTCGGTCCCTTTCCTTCCAGCCTCCAATCATGCTGATGAGTGCTCACCTCTTTGCTGTCTCATTTCTCTCATTCATTCATTCTTCATTCTTCATTCACTGAGCCCTGTGAGCCAGGATCCACTGTAGGAGCTAAGGATCATGGGAGAGAAGAAAATAGATAATAAGCGAGGTGCATGCATAACCTATATAGTGTGTCAGGGGATGAAAGGTGCAAAGGAGAGGAAAATGTCAGGGCTGGGAGAGTTCGTGCCGAGGCAGGGCTGCGGGGGCGGCTGTTGTGGCGGGAACACCGCCTGGAGGGAGGCTGCCTGCGGAGGGAGGAGTCTTGAGACGCTCCTGCTGAGGGACAGCCAGCAGGTCTGCCGGGGGAATCGTCGTCCACCGGGGTCCTGGGGGACCGGCAGCGGGGCCTCCGGGTGGCTGGAGGAAGTGGGAGAGACAGGTGCAGGAGATGGGGAGGCTGAGCCCTGCCAGTCACTACGCTGAGACACCTGTGGGCCTAGGGCAGCCTGGCCCCAGCCCTGTTCCGGCCTCACCTTCTGGGGCCTCCTCTCGGAGCTCAGTGCCCAGCAGCCCTGGGCTCCTCCGACCCACACCCCTGCTCCCTCTCTGCCCCTTCTCCTTCCCCTGGCCGGGCTCAATCCCACAGGGGCCTTCTCTTCAAGCCTGTGGGGAGCGTGCTGTGCGTTTAGCTTAGCGGCCTGCGCAGAGCGGGCAAGGGCCCAGCCCGGCCCTCCTGGACAGCTGGAAAAGCCTGGGGGCACAGGGCTGATCGCCTTCCCCACCCAGCCTGCCCCTCCTAGTCCTGGCCAGACCCACTTCTGCCCCCTGGGCTGTCTTCTAGCTGCTTGCTCTGTCTGGAATGTGCTCCCCACTCCCACCCTGCTTGGCGCCTGAACTCCAAGTGTGGGTTGAGATGTTACTTTCTCAGTGGGACCTGCCAGGGCCGCACCACACAACACCGCGACCTGCACATGCGCATGCGTGCATGTCTCTGTCTCTCTCTCTCTCTCCACCTCCCCAGCACCCCTCATTTCCAAGCACCGCTGGCTGTTTCTGTCCGTAGCACCCCCTACCTAATGTGTTAATTCTATCTCTTGCTCCAAAACGGGGGCCCCACGAGGGCAGGGGTCTTTCCCCTGCTCCCTGCCACTTCCGGTCCCTAGAACCGAGTTGGGCCACGGCAAGGGCTGGAGACAGCTTCCCGCGTCTTTAGGACCGGGGCTGAGGAAGGAGGCCAGCTCTCGGGAGAGGCGGGGTGCCTCCTCCTCCAAAGCCCCGGCTGCTCCTCCAGAAGGGGGGCAAGGGGCAGGAACCCCCGCCCTGCACACGCAGGCCGCACACACCTGTGTCCCTGCAGACAGCCCCGCCCCCCGCGGCCCTCCGTGCGTGCCGCTGACGTGGCTATGGTTTTGAGGCCCCAGGGGTGCAGATTCGAGTCAGAGCGTCCTGTGCTCTGCGGCTGCTGTGGAGGTGGGGACGGGCCCTGCAAACACGCACATGTAAGGCCTCCTCCTCCCACCTCTCTGCACATGAGCACACACGCGTGCACACACGGGTGGACAGGGTCATCCCGGGCTGGCTGCCCTGCCCAGAGCTGGGCCCCTCTGCGCTTGGCCCACCGGCGGGAGGGGAGGCGGAGGAAGGGCTGTGGCATCTCCTCTCCCCCAAGCCTCCCCCTCCGCGGCTGTGCCCTGCTCAGGGCACTGCTCTGCGTGTCAGTTCCTGCCTTAGGGAGGCGGCTCTCTCTTCCGCTGCTTCTGCCCAAACCACTTCCCCATGGCCCCGGCCCATGTTCAGCCCATGTTCAGCCCAGCTTCTCTGCGCTGTGACCACTGAGCACCCACCTCGTGGTGGGTAACGTGCTGGCCACCTGACGCTCCCAGGCTGGCGGGGCAGCCCCATCCAACCCCCCCAAGCACCTGGCCTTGAGGGCCTGGAACGGGGATGTGAGGCTCTGGGACCCCAGCACCCAGGTCAGCGCCAGCTCGGGGTGACCTTGAGCAAGGCCCTCAGCCTCTCTGCACCACGTGCCTCCCTTGCAGAGCTGTGCTGAGGGTTAAGTGACTGGGTACACGCAGAGTGCTTAACCCAGTGCACTGCTCCAGGAGCTGTCAGTCAACACAAGCCGTTACCCTAATCAAGCAGTGATCTCCCAGGAGGGGAGACTCAGAGGCCAGGGTCACCCTGGGGATCTGGGTGCCGCAGGTGTCAGGGCCGGGGTGGGGCCTGAAGTCACCTGGGGGATAGGAGCTTCCCTGTAAGGCTCCTGCTGCCTGGAGCCCCCGTAGCCCCACCTCCCGGGGCCTCAATTTCCCCAAGTCAGTGCCACGCTGACCATCATAACTGCTGTCCCTCTGACTGTCTGGGAGCCCAGGCTCGGTGAGTGAGGTGGGCCCCCGACTTCCCACCTCCTGGCCCTGGGACCCAAACATGCAGGGTGCCTGTGTTTGAGGGTGGATGGTCCCCCCGATAACAGCCCACGTGAAGGAGGAAGGAAGAGGGCCAGCTAAACAGGCTGCACCCCTGAGGAAGTTGAGAGGTGGCCTGCAGGGCCCTAGCTCCCCTGACCCCACCCACTGATGTAACAGGACAGCCTGACCTGCCCCGGCCCTGTAGGGTCCCTCGGGGGTGCACTGCCCCCCAGCTCTGTGCCGATCTGGGTGCTCCTCAGGCTTTTGCACGGTCCTGCCCCATCGCTCACTCCAGGCCTCTTCCACGGAGGCGACAGCTACGGGAACCTTTTCACCCCCCCCACACCTCCCCCAGGCGCTGCCCTGGACAATTCAGCACCTCTCCGGTGCCAAGTGATTTCACATCCTCCCTTAATCTCCATAACACCTGGTATTTTGCAGGTAAGGGAGCTGGTTCAGAGAGGCCAGGCAACTTGTCTGAGCTTACACTGCCTGCAGGTAGGTGGCCGGCTGGTCTTGGAGCCCAGGCTCTGGCCACGAATCCCCCACACTTGCCAGGGGGTAAACTGTGCTGCAAGTGCTCCCCCCGCCAGGCCAGGGGCCCAGGGCTCCTGTTTATCAAGGAGGAAATATCACCTGTCGCTGGGAAGCCAGTGCCCCCGGGCAGCCACAGGCCCCTGGCAGAGCCAGGCTGGGCTGGGGCACTTTCCTTGGCACTGGGCACCTGACAGGAGGGCGCTGCTGGGAAGGCTGTGTCCCTCGCCACCTCAAGGCCTTGTCAGAAGCCACCCACCAGCTGGAGTGGGGCCTGGCACCTTCTACCCTGCCCGCCTTTATTGCCCTTTGTGGCTGTTACTATCACTTACGGTTTCATGCATCTAGTTATTTATTTACCCTCCACCACCACCACCACCACCAAGCAGACTGTGAACTCTTGAGCTCAAGGAGAGTGCCTTGCCTGGAGTAGCACCTGGCCCACACGCAACAATCTTTTTGTGGAATGAATGAAAAGAATGCGTGAAAGGAGTCAGGTGGTAAAGGAAGAAGCATAAATGTGGGAAGTTCAGTGTCGGGATTAAATGTACTAAGATCGAACTAAGAAGATAATTCCAGGCAGAGGAGGGAAATGCACAGTAATTTAGAAAGGGGAAGGGACAGGGCCACCAGGCCCAGCCACGCGGTCTGGCGGGGAGACTGACTGCAAGACAAATGCTGCGCTCTCCAGCCGCGCCGTTCTCAACTCGCGCAGGAGTGCGCGGTGCCCCCCTCCATGGGAAAGGACGAGACAGTCTGGCCCCTCAGTGGGGTGCAGTGAGTGCGGGTGGGTCCGCAGGTGCCCGTGGCAGGAGGAACAGGCTGTGCCCTCCACGAGGAGGCCACATGGTGGCGGTTAGCAGTTTGCCACCCGGTGCTGTCTCTAGACAGTTGTCCAACTGCAGGGAGCAGCTGCTGTGCTGTTAGCTGTCCCTCTACCTGGGGCGCTCAGGACGGGGTAGGGAAACCACCCGGCACACCCCACAGACACATCGAACTCTGCGGACAGAGATAATGGCAAAGGCGGAGGGGGGAGGGCCGCTTCCGGAGCTGGCTGGCGGCAAGCTCCGGAGGTGGAGGACACGGTGTTCTAGGTCTCAGCGAGGACTTGTCCCGCTGCGGCAGCCCAGTCCCACTGGCCGGGCACAACAACAATCTCCGGGTGGTTGCGGCTGTCTGGATGAGTCACCTTGCCCACAGTGAGCCGTGCGGCGATGCTATCAGCAGCCCCGCTTGCTTAATTCCTGGGTGACATCACCCGCCTCCGTCCCCCCCTTCTCGGCAGCGTAGCCTGCAGCCTGGTACATCCTGGAAGGGACGGCCTTGCACCGCTCTTGCCAGACGCCACCCAGCCAGGTAAATGAGCATTCAGCTGTGCAGCTACGGCCCCAAGGGGTTCGGCCTGCTTTCTGCCTGAGTCCTCAGTTTACCTCCCAAGAGGTGCTGTCTGGAGTAAAATCACCCCTACTCTCTCCCTTCCGTCTCTTTGGTCAGGGCCAAGCTGCTTGTCCCTCTTGGAAGCTAACTGTCCCCACGGTGACCGTGGGCCCGGGGCTGTGCTCCCCAGTACTGCCCAGGGCAGGCCTGGCTGCCCTGGAGCCGCTGGCCTGGGCCTTCAGTGTCCCTGGCTTCCCAGGCCAACATGGTGCCCCTGTGCCCTGCCCCGTCTCTCCCCTTCCATCCCGTGTCCCAGCACCCTGTCGCCCCAGCCTAGTCTCGTCTCCCTTCTGAATGCTGACCCTCGCTCCGTGCATGTGCAGCCGCCCTGGTGACACAGGTGCCCAGCGGCGCCACCTCTGCAGCCAGCTACGGTAAGAGGGAAGGGTTCTCGCCACCTCCTTCCCATCAGCAATGCCAGAGGGGCGAGGCTGGGCAGTGGAGAGGGAAGGCTGGACCTCAGGAGGGAGGGAGGCCACCAGCTGGGCAGAGAGGCTGTGAGAAGCCGGTGGGTGGGGCGGGACCTGAGCTGCCCAAAGGCATCCTCTGTGGCTGCGGGGCACGGTCTTCCGTGTCAGCGCTGGGCAGGCGAGGGGGAGGTTTCTACAAGTGACGGCAGTCACTTGTACTCTAGGTATTTGACCAGAAGGAATTGTTCCTTAGAAGGAAAAAAAAAAAACCACAAAAGCTAAAGAGCGCACTGAGGAGTCACACCTCGTCCCCCTTCGGCTGAGGAGCGAATCCTGAGGGCAGGCGTGTGCGGAGGGAGCGGCAGTGGAGCCTGCTGCTCTGCCCCTTGGCAGCGAGCCAGCCTGGAGCCACCCTGGTCTCCGCGCACCCCGAGGCTCCCTGGACTC